ATAAGGTCTAGACCCAAGCTGGCTGTCCCATTAATAAGCCCATCCCTTCCCCTGGGTTTGGGAACCCTACCTCTTATGATGTGCTTTCTGGTCAGTCCATTGCTGGCAGCTTCCTCATTCAGGACTCCTAACTCAAATGTCTCTAGCCCAATCTGACCAGTCCCACCTGACCCTCAGGGCCTAGGGGTGGACACTAGGGCCTAGACCTCCCGTCCACTCTTTCTTGTCATAACGGCGGCTTGTGCTGGCCTGAGCTTGCTTTCTGCTTTCACTGGCTCTACACACTCCATGTCACTGACCAGAATTGACACACGGCTGGGGCCAACTGCACAGCAGCCATGAGACCTCCCTGGTGCCTGAGCTCTGCTGCTAAGAGATGTCTTCTTGCCGGCCCACTCATCACCAAGCTCCCAGTGAGGACTGGGCTCAGAGAGACTGTGGCTTGCAGCAGCAGACGGCCCTGGCAGAATGCTCACAGGGCTCACGAGGCAAGACTCTGGCACACTCCTTGACACGCGACGGTGGCTGGCACTGGCTTGAGACTGCCATCCCCTCCTTTTTCCTCCCTGGCTGGCTGTACCCAGATCCACCTCGCCCCGAAGGCCTGGCTACAGCTTTCCTAATGGATGCTGCTCAAATTCCTCGTCCTTCATCTGGTCACAGGTTTACACATTGTCTAACTTGGCTGCCCAACCTGGGCAGATTCATGGCAGGTGACAGTATGTGGCCAAGTCACGCCCCCAAGCCATCATCCTATGCCTGGCCCTGAGCCTCCTGTGCGCCTCAATTTTTCTGCCTCCCTGAGGAGCTAGACAAGTAGCTGGGCACTCACTGATTGCTTTCGACATGTATCTGCTCCTTGATCCAGGAACACCCTGCCTGGCCCAGTGGCCACATCTAAGCTCTGGGTGCTACCCAACCACTTAGGAGGGACTGATCATTCCTGGGGTGCTGAGGAAGAGGTCTATCCCAGCTCAGCCTCTTTCAACCTGCAGCCTGATAATATCCCTCAAAGCTGAACCGAGCTGCTGCACGAAACCGGAAAGGGCAATCCCCCATGGGCTGTGAGAGACTCACACATCCCTGTGGAGGTCACATCAGCTGAGGCCAGTGGGATGTGTGCTGGCCCTCTGAGCCCATTTCCTGGCCAATGCCGAGAGACAAACTGAGCAGCCATATTTGAGGGAGAGAGGCAGGCACACTGGTCCTCACCGTGTCCCCACCACGCATGCTGCGGCTCAGAAGCGCAGCATCCTAGACCTGTGAGTGACAGGGTGACCCCCTCATCTTCTGTGAATTAAATGTGAGGAGACAAGGCAGCAACAGGGGTAGAGAAGCAGAACCCAGTCAGGGGGTGGTTGTTCAGGGGGACACCGGCTCCTCCCTTCCCATAGTTCTTCCTCCTTCCATCTGTCCTTTACCTTCTCTTGCTGGCTTGAAAGCTTCTTCCCACCATCACCTTTATCCTTTCCCTTTCAATACCAACCACCCCCTGCCCAGGTCAGCTAAGTGGGGACTACAGAGAAGCTACCCTCCCTCCATTGCTGGCTAGGAACCCCTCATCACCCCAGCTCCATGTATCTTGTTCTTTTCCTCCCTCTTTGCTCTTTCTTCTTCCTTTTCTCCTTTCCTACCTGGTAGGACACATTCTCTCAACGGACTTTCAAAGCCCCCGGGGGCATCCAATGTGCTACTCCCCTGGCACCATCATCTCCAGGCCCTCTGCCTCCCGGAGTGCCATTTCCAGCTGGCCTCAGCATGTCCCCTGTCCTGGGTGGATAGTAGCAGACCCTCATAGCCACATTCCTGCTCCTTGGGACAGCAACCTGCACAACCAGATCTGTGGGCTGAGGGCCAGGTCTGGTCCCAGAGCCTGAGAACCTTTCTCTGCCCACCCAAGGGGTTCTAACCCCATCTACCACCTAAAGCCCCCTGCCTATCCATAGCCACTTGTCCACTTTAGCCCCCATGCCCACCTGAAGTCCTTTGCCCTCCTGCAGCCCATGTGCCCACCTGTCCTCTGGAGACCTTGGGAGTTCATCCTGGCATTGTTCTCTGGAGAGATGCTCTGGGCCTGTAGCAGCGTCCTTGCAGGCTTGGGATCCTTCAGCTACCCTGAGGGTCCCAAGAACCCCTGGGTGTCCCCTCTTGATTCCAGCAGAAGCATGGGGTAGGTGAGTCTCTGGGTGCCTTGGCGCCCTGGTTGCTGCTTGCCGCCTGATCTACCCAGCTCTGACGCACCGGCTGGGACTGGAACCGGAACCTCAGTCCTCTGGGCTCTGGCCCTGACACCCTGCCCAGGGGGCTGGGCCACTTGGTCCCTGTACCCCCTGCTGCTGGCTCGGCCAGGCTCCAGGCAGGACAGGCTCTGGCAGACAGACCACCCGGCCCGCAGGGGTGCCGCCCACTGGCCACCCGGCCTGCCAGGGTGGGGCCGCCCCACCCTCGGGATCTCGGCCTCCAATGGGCCCGTGGAGCCACGCCTCCCTGGACACTGTGGTTGGAGGCCTGGCTTCCCCTCCCCCCACTGGGCCACCCAGCAGACTGCCAGCCCCATCTACTAACCTCTGCCACACTGGGATCCCCAGAGTCCCAGAGGGCCACATGTTGGGTGGGAGCCTGCCTGAAGAGACTTACACCCCAGGGGAGCCATAGACAGATGCCATGCTATCTGCTGGCTGGTGGGTGCTGGGACTGATGAGACAGAGGCTCATACCACCCAAGGGAGCCTTGGTTGGTGATGCCTGCCAAGGTGATTCTTGGCTCAGTCTCTTAGGATAGCATCAAACCAAGGTGTTCCTGACCAGCCCAGATGCTCTTAAATCTAGGCCACCCCAGGAGGAGGGGGGATATGGCAGAACCAAGTAGCCAGCTGAAAGCCCAGGTGACTCTCTTTAACCCTGGCCTGACCTATGGTGGACATGGGAGGACCCTTGCTCTCCTGGGGGCAGGAAGTGGGTACGAAAATTCCTAGCACAGGGGAGTAGGAGTAAGCCTAGAGTCTGGCCAGTGACATGTTAAGCCTCCAATTCATACCCAGACTCAGACAAGGAGACTTAGAGGGACGTGCCATCTATTTTCCCACTAGTCTATAAAACTATTTCTGATGAACTTAAGCTGGATTCACTGTGCACCTTGGCCTCTGATGACATACAGCAACTGCTCCAGAGCTTGTCTGGAGGGACTGGAGGGCTCCACTACCACGTGTGGTGAGAGAGCCTTGAATTCTTGGGGAAAGATCTGGGCAAAGGCAATGGATGGGTGACCTTGAGCAAGTCACTTGACCTCTCTAAGCCTACTTTTCTCATCACCTATCCTCCAGGGATGGGTGAAGTGGACAGTGTTGGATGCTATAGACATGTGGACAAAGGCTCAGGGGTGGAGGGTATTGTAGTACTAGGTAGTAGCGTGCATATGTCTGCACATATGTGTATCAGTACACATGAGGGGTGTGGCGACAGTTCAATCACAGGACCGGGCCCTCAAAGATGCACAGCTTAGTGTATATCTACCTCAGGCATCACCCATGTCATCTACTGTGGACCCGCTCCACAGTATGACGGATCTCTGTCATCCCCCACAAGGGATAATCTGCTGGATCTACTCTCCCACTTCATCAGAGATCACTAAGACCTACCAGGAACCTGCCTTCCTGTTCTGTCTGCTGGTTAACCATTGTAGGCCTTGGTCTCTGGGTCTCCCCCCATCTTTCTTCAGCTCAACACTGTGAATGGTGCCGAACCTAACCCCTCCCCAAGATCTTGCCTTGTCTATAGCTTTAGTGGCCCCGTTGCCCTTCCTTTGGGCTAGCAGGACATGAGTCTGGTGCTAGGTCTTGTGGCTCTTTCTGTCACCCGACAGCCACCAGGGTGCTGGAATTAGTTTCCTGCTCGTTATGTGGTACTGGTGAGTTGATAAGATTGATCAAAAGTGCTCCTAAATTCCCAGGAAACAGAACATCATGAGGGATAGTAGCAATGGAGGATATATCTCAGCCTGGACAAGAGGGACATCCAGAGTGAGGAGGCTGTGCATGAGAACTCTGAGCTGTCTGAGCTAACCCTGGAAGACTGGCATGAGGCATGGCTATGGTATTGTCTGGGGGCTAGGGTGGTGGGTTAGGGCTGGTCCTAACCTTGGATGCCAGCTGGGACCATGATAGGTCTAGGACTTGGAGGTAGCTGTCTCCTGGCATCTGCCCACCACCATCTGTGCCCTGTCTCACCACTGAGAGCCAGGGCCAAAACACACAGAAATATGAAACAATGCCAGCCCCACCCTTCAGGAGCATGGGGTTTAAGCAGCCATGAAAGTGGGTCAGGGAACTGGCCACCAGATGAGCAGAGGAGCGGAGCCTTCCTGACTAGGGAGACCATGACAGGCTGCCCGGAGGAGGCGGCACTGCAGCAGAGCTTTAAAGCCAGAAGAGGGAGGAAGAGGAAGGGCACAGCAGGTAGCTCAGAGAACAGCAATGAGCTCTTAATTATTGGAAGTGCCTGAGGTTTGTAGGGCCTGGGCCTATTGCTGTCCTCTCACACACACTTTACATAGGAGAAAACAGGGTGAGTGAAGCCTCTCAAAGGCCTGAGGTCCAGTGGCCAGAGTCAGGATTCCTAACGGCTCCAGTGCCTCCCACTCCCAGGACTATCAGGCCAGTGGTTTCTGGGGCCTATGGCTGTGGGTCCGATCTCATTTGTAAAGTGAAGGGTGTCTGGCTAGTTCCCCTGGACAGCAAGAAGACATGGCAGTGGGGGCTTAGCGGCTACTCTGAGGATACATTCTCCGTGGGTCCTGGGGACACACAGGGCTGATGGGAGGAAGAAGTGCAGCTGCCTGGCTGGCCAATATGATGGTTTTATGCTGGGCTTCAGTATCTTCCCATAGGTGTGCATAGGCAGCCCAGCTCAGCCTATGGGCCACATATCTGCCAGTCAGGGTGTAGGGGGACCACTGTCGGCAAGGGTGCCGCGGGCACCGTGCCTGGGCTGGGAGGGACCTACCTCAGGAGCTTCTCCAGGCCCCGTTTGCTAGCATTTCTCCTCAGGAGTGCGGGGCCATTCATGCTGTGGGCCTGCCCGCGACGACGCTGGTGACCTGGCCTGACCCTGGCCCTGGGGACTCAGCCCGCAGCTTCAAAGGCTCCTGGTGCTGTGGCCCAGCACCTCTGTTCTCCTCTCCCTTCTTTGCCTTCTCTTTCCCCCTTTCCTTCTTTCTTTTCCTCTTTTCTCCCCTGCCCTGCCCTGCCCTCTTCTCCTTGTCCCTCTCTTTGTGTTCTTGTCCCTGCCCCCCCTCCCCCTGTCAGTCTGTCTGGTCTCTCTGGCTCTGAAACCCCTTCCCTGTCTCCTCTGCCTGTCTGTCTGAAGGATGTCTGTCTGTCTGTCTCAGCCCCTCCAGCCCTTGGGGGCGGGGGTCAGGGGCAGGCTCCCAGATGGCAGCCCCAGGCCCTTCCACTGTCCCTGGACCCTGTCTCTGTGGGTCTCTCCCCTCTCCTTTCTCAGGACGATTAGCAGCTGCTTTTCTTTTGTCCCCCAGCCCCCTTCTCCGCCCCCTCGGTCTCCTCCACCTCCACCACCTCCTCCTCCTTCCGAGACTAGTAAAAATGTCAGAGAGAAACCCTCCCAGCCCCGCAGTGTGGGGGCTTGGCTGGACCTCCACACCCGCTTGTGGGCAGCATGGTGGTATGCCCCCCTCAGACCATCTTGGCAGCTTCTGCCACTTCCCACCTCTCTGCCTACCACTTCACTCTGGGTGCCTGGCCCACAGGTCACCTCCCCATCCTCAGAGCCTCTTGGCCATCTCTGCCTGCCTGCTGGTCCCTGCTCTGAGTCCTACTCTCCCTGACCCCTGGTTCTCTCCTCCCAGATCTGGGCCTCAGCTGCCCTGACCTGGCTGACTGCCCCTCCTTGCCCTTTTCTACTCTTCTGGCGTTTTCATCCCTATCTCAGTCTCCCTCCTACCTTCCCTCCCCCATTCCTTTCCCTCCCTTCTTTTTCTCCCTCATTCCCCTCCCTTTTCTCCCTCCCTCTGGGTCTTCAGTTTCCCTCTGTTTATTCCCAGCTCTCTGCTCTTGTATAACCTCCAGGGGAGGCTGGGCACCCCAGGAATCTTCCCAGGTCACCTAGTTGGGAGGCTACTGCTCTCCCCAGAACCTCAGGCTACATTCAGAGCAGGGAGGTAGAGACACCACAGAGAGCATCTTCCTCTTGTAGGAAGCCAGAGTCCCCAGGGTCATGGCGGGTACCAGGGTGGTCGGTGCCCTCACCAGCCAGCCCCCTACCCTATCCTCTGGCTCAGACCCAGGGACAAGCAGCCCAGCCCATTGTTTTTCTGGTTGGGCTTAGTCACTGTGACTCACTGGAGAACATTGGAGGCTAGTAGCTGGGCTGGGGGAAGTTGCCATGGGCCGGTTCTGGGCGAGAAGGCTTTCATCTAGTGGCTTCCAGGATCACCCACACTCATAGCTGTGGACAAGCTGTACTGTTAGACCCATGAGCCAGATGGAAAAACCAAGGTTGGCCAGCAGCGCTGGGCCAGGTCCTAGAACCAGAATCTGGTATAGCCAAGACCATAGTTGGGTCTATTGATGGCCAGCAACTGCCCCACTCTACACAGCTGGCCCCCAGTGGTTCCTCCATCTCCACACTTGAAGAATGGGCACACATGAGTTATTGTGACCTCTAGGTGGGCTAGAAAGTGAGATTCCAGAAAACTTAGGACAACTGAGGACGGACATGGGAGTTGGGGGGTCACATGAATAGATTACTGGTGGGAAGGAGGCATGCTTTAAAGTGATGGCACAGATACAGTTCCACAGCTCGGATGTGTAGTGACTAAGAAGCTGACTACCCGCCTTTTCTATCATGCTTGCTACAGGATGAGATCCGGCTGTTCTGAGCACAGCGGTTACGGCATCTCCCTCCCCCAGCATCTCCCAGGAGGAGATGGAGCCAGGGAGTATAGCAGAAACAGCAGAGTCCGCTGCCCTCACCAAAGCTCAGAGACATAAGGAACAACACATTCTGAAGGCATAGGATGGGCTGGTATGAACCTCCCTCCTGTAAGCCCATGCTGAGGAGGTCACCTAGTAGAACCAGATCGCCTAGGAAACCAGTTTGTACTGCGCCTGCACCACCGCAACTCCCCACACCACCCCCTGGCCCCTGTTCCTACTCCAGCTAGACAGCCAGAAATGACATGTGATCAGGCGTGGTCAGGACAATTTGGGTTCAAAAGAAGGAAGAACATTTCCAGACAGGGAGGACTGCCTTAATCAGGGGTAGTTCCCATGAAGAGATGTGGAATTTAAGGCTTTGAAGCCATGACATATATGGACAAGAGGACAGAATGTTTGATACTGGCCTTACTGTTCATTATTTTTCTGCCTACCCATCTACTCATCCATCCATGGATGAGTACACCCATTCATCTACCCATCCATTCATTGACTTATTGCTTTAGCCCCCTATCTACCTATACATCTATCTACCCATCCATCCATCCATCCATCCATCCATCCATCCATCCATCCATCCATCTTGTCCTTATGGTGCTTGTATTTTTATGTATCATTTTTCAACCCATCAAGTTTTCCTTATGCTTTTCCATCCCCCAATGTGAATATAACATAGCCTACTATTGAATAATTATTTCAGTCTATACGTCTATAACCATGTCTATTCACCTTTCATCATGTTTTTCCATTGAAAAAGGATCTATCAGTTGACCCATCCATCCATTCACCCATCCATTCATTTTCCCTTTATCCATCCATGCACCCATCCATCTATCCATGCATTCATCCATTCACCCATCCACCTGTTCATCCGTTCTTCCTTCTATTTATTGATCCACTTACTTAAACATCTCTTTAAAATTTTCAGTTTATTATTATTAAGAGAGGCTGCATATACCACAATGAGCATTCATGGGGCAGAAAACATCGTTGTGGAGCTGGTTCCCTCCTTCCTTCTTTACCTGGATTCTGGAGACCTAACTCGGTTACCAAGCTTGCATGACAATTACCATTTTACCACACTGAGTTATTTCATTACCACACTTAGAAGAAGTGTTCAGCAATCCATCCATCCATTTGGAGTATAATAACTTCCCATTGCATACTAATTAACACTACCTCATCTTCATCCTTCAAGTTGTATGTGCATTTGTCTAACCAACAAATTTTTTTTCAATCCATGCTGTCCCCTCTCCAAATAGTCTTCTGCTCTTATTTTCATGCAGATTTCTGTTTCTTAAATTCTTTTTTCATATTTGTTCATACATCTGTGTTTTCAGAGTCTTCTCACATAGGAAGCTGCACATCCAGCTGCACACATCTTTGTGTGTGACACTGTATGCATAGTAATCTAGGCAAGTCAATACAACATTATAGGAAACCAGCCCAATTTTCACCACCTACTCTTTTCCCCTGCGTCATTCTTCTAATCACAAATCCACTTAATTATCCACACATTTGTTCATCGATCTGTGTGTTTATTCAAGAAGCACGAATTGAATTCCAATAACTTCTAATGTGCTGGGAATTCAGCCCCACTCTCCAGGGCTCATGATGTTGACATTTTAGCGAGAACAAATAAGTAAATATGTACCAACACATTGCAGATGATGGTTAATGCTGCTGAAAGTGTGAGTTGGGGTATGAAAACAGGGAGCACCAAGGGACTGAGATGCATTGTATGATACTCAAGGAAGAAGGAAAGTTTAGTGGAAAGGGATAAGCACTTCTTGGTTTAAGAAGGAAGAAGAGAGAGAAAAGGAGAGAGATTGATTTTCTCACAAAGGGAGAAAGTATTCCAGAAGGATAATATAAATTTATGTGGAGAGGTGTCTTTTCACATATCTGTATTTTCAATAGTTCATTCCATACCAATTTATCCATTTATTGATCTGTCATCTGCTTATCTTTCCACTCATACATCTACTTTTATAACTATTTATTCATTATTTATTTACAGTCATAATTTGCCTGTTTTGATATTGTATTTGTCCAGTCATTTATCTATGTCCTATCTACCTCCTCATTAGTCCACCTATTCTTTCATCCCATATGCCCATCTTCTAATACATCCTTTTATCTATCCCATCCATCCATGCAACTGTCTGTCCATCCGTCCATCCATCCATCCATCCAATAACCCACCCATCCACACTCGTACACTTATCAATCCAACCCCCATCCATCCATGTATATATCCATTCATCTACCCATCCACCTACTCGCTCATCAATTTATCCATTCATACCCATCCATCCATTCATCCAACCACCCACTTACCATCCACCCATCTACCCACTCAAAAATCTATCCATCCACCTCATGCAATCACCAATGCACCAATTCACCCTATATCCATTCAACCACCCATTTATCCATTCATTTACCCATTTCATCCACACATCTATCCATCCACCTATCCATCCATCCACTCATTCATCCATCCATAGATATACCCACACACCCATCCATCTATCCACCTAGCTATTGTCATACCTTTTTCTTCATCCATCTTTCCCTCTATTTGTGTATTTCTCCACTACTGATTCTTCTTTTTATTTTCTTTATTTTATGGCTAGACATGGCTCAAAAGTGTATGGCTTGAGAATAAGGTCCCAGGAGGTCAGGTCCCTCTTAAAATGGACCCTAAACAGAGCTCTGGAGACACAGATCTACTCCCTTGTCCATGCATCTTGGTAACCCCCAGAAGACATACTTCAACAGACATGCTCACAGACCAGTGTGTACCAAAATGAGGAAAGACACAATAAGCAGTGGGAGCCTACTGGTGGAGGGATCTGGGATGGTGGCTTTTAATAGCAATGTGGCCCTGATTTACATAATGGGAAGCCTCCAAATGTTTCCTGCACTCATTAGCTCCATGTGTTTCCTTTTCCAAGCAGGATCTGGTGGGCCAGAGCTAAGGGCAGGGCCAGGGAACTGGGTGTGGTGATGAATCCAACTGTGGTTGGAGCTGGGACTAGGAGAAAGGGTAACAGAGTCTTTCCAGATTTCTTTGGAATAAACTAGCTATATTCATCTGTCATGAATTCTATTGCTTTTTTGAGGAGAGGTTCCTGGGAGAGAAGAGAGAGGTAGAAGGTAGGGGAGAAGAAGATGAGGAGGGGACAGGAGGAGGCAAAATAAAAAGTGGAAGAGG